CAATCATCTTCTACTAACCTGGCTCATTAGCCATCCAACTACCATTCAACCACAAGTCTCAAATCTATTCCCCCATACTTTTCTAAGTTTTTATCCAGCTGTAGATCCACTAATCTATCATTTTATTACCTTCTCCATCCAACTATCTCTCATTCTATCAATCGAGCTATCTTTCTCTAATCTCGTATGTCCATCTATCTTCGTGTCTATCTATTACCTTCTGACCAGAAGATTTGTCAACTGGCTATCTATCCTACATTTTATAGTCACATATTAATTTGCCTATATTGTAATTTCCCGCCTATTTTATCGTCCCTTTCTATTATCTATCACTTAATCCATCTATCAATTTCTTTCTATGTCGCTCTCTCTGTCGGTCGGCCGGCCGGTTTCCCAGTTTACAAAATTGCCAAACATCAAAATAGTCAGTCTAGGTAGCTTGAAGGGATGAAGGAACGATGGAGAACTTCCCTATCATCACAAGAGTAGACCCCCATTATTCTAATAAAGCTCATTTGACCTTGCTTTCTCAAGGCTATTAAAAATAATGACCTAAAAAAGCAGCATTTCTACAAAAGTCTTACTTGTGGTTTGCGTTTATTCACGCCAAAATGGCTATTATTGCCACAATATATTTTTATATGGCCATGCACTCTGTGGTTAACATGCGAAAATTGCCAGTCGAGATGGTGAGAAGCAGATAGTCTGCTGACTAAAGCCAAAAATATTCTTAAAACTTATTGCAATAATAAAAAGCTGCCGAGCAAATTTCCCCAAAGTTATACTCCAGAGCAGTGGATACCAAACTTTTGCTAGTCGCGGCGCCCTTTTTCAATTAAAATTTTTCCATGGCGCCCTACCTCAACTATGACCATTCGTAAGTAAGAGATAAAAATATATACTACTCGTGTATCTTCATTATTTTATTTTTTTACTTTATTAACATTAAATTGCTAGTAAATAATTAATCTGATGGATGAGCCTCAAATTGAAGCTTTTACAATATTGTAACCTTTCAGGGCAAAAAATGTCGCAAAATTTAGCCATTTAATATATGAGCTATCTGGTAAAAGTACTGTCAGTAGTATATCAGTAGTGCATCTTTTGTGGTAGACCACACTACTCTACCGCATTTGATAGCAATTTGAACGTGAAAATGAAGAAATCCAAAGGGTCTATTGCATAAGGCCGGAAATATTTCTACATTTGTTAATAAAACTACGGTAATAACAATAAAAGTCTGCAAGACTATTCAAATTGCTGATTTAAATGGTTAGTACGAAAGTGTTGTATATTTGGCATCAACAGACTGTCTTCAGGCAGCAATAAAACTTCTTCCACACTTGCCTGAAAAGGAGTAAGAGCAAGAGCGGCTGTTTTGTGTTGAACTGGCCGGCTTTGCTGGCAGAAATGGCAACTGTATGGGTCATATGTGATTTCCAGTGCGGGCCATTGAGTTTAGTTTAATAGTTTAATAGAATCTAGATTTCTTGTCACAAAATCTCGAAATCTCGGGAAACCCGATAGCAACTGAAGTCAAGATGACGACTGCATCAATACTTGCATCCTCTTAACCGACCGAGGCTGACCTATATTTTTTTTCTACTAAAGCACTACTGACAGTCCTCAAGCCTAATTCTATTGAAAGTGAGTATTTCTCTGTCCGGCGAGTTCGTGCCAATTCGGCTGTTGTTAGGCGAGGCTGAACAATGTAACCTGCTTTCATTAGCATTAAATGGTCGCTTCTTCTCTCCTCATTTGTCACTTTGGCCTTGAGTTGTTGCACTGCAACGGGCACATGCTCGACTGACCGACGTCGAGTAATTGTCAAGCAAATAGAGTCTGCTTTTTTATCACATTTTCCCATTAATGTACAACTCTGTTGTTCTTTTGTAACTAGCACCCGTTTGGACAACAATCACCCGGCAAAATTAACCCGGTCAAAGGATGGACAGACTGAATTTCGTGCCAAATAGACGATACTACTGAAATGGCAAAAGTAGCTCAAGCCATTCGAGGCCTGTTGAGCGGTGCCGGGGTGGGGTTTGAGGCGGCGAGCAATGGCGTCTGGCGAGCATAACAAAGAGAGAATGAAGCGAAGAGAAGATGTTGTTTGTTGGCTTTTTGCTTATTGCCCATTCGCAGTGTTTTGTCGCCTCGTCCGATGCAAACAAGAATGGCTTTCTTTGCCCAAAGTCTTCGATGCCGTCGCAGATGAAAAGATTATAAAAACTCCGTCTTGACCGCAAACAGACGCTCCGGTTTCTATGGACGCGCTTGCGTTGAACGGAGCTCAGTCGAGCTGTGAAGCGTCGCCATGACGATGGAACTCGACTAATGCCGCTTCGACCTCGTCACAATGACACCATCAGTCATGCCGGGACTCGAATCAGGGCCCATCTAATCCGAGCGGGTGAAGCTTATTATTACTCGCCACAATTACCCGTCGCCACGGTTACAGCCGACCCGAAATGCACTAGCCCCTCAGCCGACCGGGGTTCGAGTCCCGCCAGAGGTGCTGGCGCCATAAAACCTTTTTACAGAAGAGGTGAAGCAGAATGGAATTTGCACCAAGCCTTAAGTAGCCTCATTCGCCAAAAGTGTGTACTTATGTCTGTGTGCATGTGTGTTTGTATGCATAAATGAGTGTAGCTATGTATGTCTGTACGTATTAGTATATGTACTCATGTATGTATGTTTATATGAGTGTATATACGTATGTGTGAAGTATGTATGTATGTATGTATGTATGTATGTATACTTCTGTGTATTTGTGTGTGTGTGTGTGCATCAAGATGGATCCGTATGCTGTGACGAAATACGTGGCGTCAAACAGAAAGGGGTGGAACAAGAAGTGTTTTGGTGTGGGCGAAGATACGTTGACATTTGGTCGAAACCATTCAACGACAGTCTTCGTTTTTTTTGAAGGTGTTCATTTGAGTCAGATCCATCATGTAGAATAATATATTCTTGGGGAGCTACTTATTTCTTGTAATATGTCGACTTTGTGTGTGTGTGTGTTGTCTGTATGCGCTCACTTCAATTTCGAAATAACGTATGCGTTAAAGGTACCATAAGATGACGACAGCTTCCTCTTCTTCACATCTCGGTTCAGCTTACTGGAAGATCCTGGAAGAGTCTAGAAGAGTCTGGAATGTGTATGCAATTTTTGAGACAGTATGCTTCGATTTTGGTGAAAACACACCAAGATTTTCTTCGTCTTACGACGGAGATCACCACAGCAGTTGGTCTAAAAACTCGAGAAAAGTGATCGGATTATCTCTAAATGCTGTAAATACACTCTGAGCTGATACAGTTTGACGAGGTGGTATGCAAATAACTCGAATTTGACGACAATATCACTTTCATCCAAAGTGAAAATGTATCCTAAACAGCCGAAAGCAAATGTCTCTAGTTGTTCAGCTCCACTCAAACCGTCTGGTTGGCGCCGTTTTTGCGGCAAACTCGCTTAGTTCATGTGAAACCGTGTACAGGTTTCGATTGTCGTGCCAACTGGTAAAACGTCATCCGACAACCTACTCAGCTGAATAGTCAAAAAGTCCACTCGATTTATGCATACATCTTGTACGGATATAAATAAATAAGAGAGGGATTTATTTATTTATGTATATGCACGGGTTGTATGGATATACTGGTGATATTTCTTGACTATTCAAATTAATTAATATAGATAAATATATTCATATAATATATTTTATTCTGTTTTAAATCTATATTTGTGGTTATACTTTGCCAACCATCGGATAGAAATTATGAACGATGGAAGAGAGAATATCATTAAAATTTCCTCTATCTCTCGCTCTCTTTAAATATATATTTATATATACATATATTTATGTTTGTGTGTGTGTGTGTGGTAATTTATTTTTATTTAAGTTGTCAGGTGTTTTGGTTTGTTCCTATCCCTCGAAAGAGAAGTGATATATGATAAAGTAAATCGAGAAATGACTTGGACACCAACGTATCTTCGCTTATGGAAAGCGTTAAATTGGGCAGACCGTAGAGGCCAACAGATTTATTAATACAATAAATGTCAAAAATTCAGGTTGCAAGGCAATTAAAACAGTACAAATGCCGAATTGATAGACTGAAGATGATCTGATTGCGGTCCCGGTTGGTATGAGGCAACTTGACCAGACGTTTGGTTGGCCTTGCGAAATAGAAATGATAATTTAAAAAGGGTTATCAATTATGATTTATATGAATAAATGTTATTGGTGGCTTGGAGCTATGATTGTGAGTTTCATACCCCCCGCCCCTCCCCCACACACACACAAACACGCATACATTCTCATGCACACACAGAGAAGCAAAGCATCTTTTTTCTATCTCGAGCAATGCGCCAAACTGAAGTCTGTAGAAAATTCGAGAGGAATTTGCCCAGATTCATTTATTTTGGTGAGCTCAAGATGACACAACTTTGTTGATCAAGCACTTTGCCTCGAAAGTGAAGTGAGCTCGCAAACAGATTGGATCACATTTTGCCATGCACCTTCGAAACGATTTGGCTCGTCGGGCTGGACTCGCGATTGTCGCGAGTGCGGTCAACTCGAGGCAACAGCAGCAACTTTGGGGATTTTTTGCCCAAAAGAAAATATGTAAAAGGATAGACCGCCGGAATGGAGCCAAGAATGGCGGCAATGGTCGGCGAACAAGAGTCCGGTAGATTTGTGGAACGGAAAGGCGGGAGATCACGACAGATGGACTGAGAATGGGAGAAGATGGATCGGGAGATGATGGCAAATGAGGACATGAACTCGCAAAGTTCTGACCCGAAAGCGACAGTTGCCAGGTCGTGATTGGGGCTGGAAGAGGACTCAAAGAGTTGGTAGAGTTTACAGAAAACCTTGCCTTTTTGGCAACAAACTGAACAGGTACTGTCGTGTGTTTGGAGTGGGGTATGCCAAATCAGCCACAGTCGCCTAAAGTGACTTCAACTCTGCGAGTGTGATTTTTTCCCACAATCGTATGAGTGCGGTTTCCGCCTCACATCGTAAATGAGTGACCTCGAGACAAGAGTTTAAATTGGCATTTTCCTGGTCTTGTTGGTTTGCGACGATTTGAGGACAAAAATGGCATTTTTCCCACTTTAAAGAGGCTTTCACATACACTTGACCTTTTCGGTATCGCGTTCGAAGGGATCTGGTGGCGGCAAATCGGCCTAAGCGACCTCGTTTGAATAAATTTGGAATCATACATTTTTTTGCCAATTTGTTCACTTTTAAGCATACAACCGTGCAAAGAAGATGGGCATTGTGAGAAAGACGATTTGATGGAGAAATACAGTTTATCGCGACAGGAGAAGGTGACAACGCCGGTGTGCATGCGTGTATGTGTGTTGCTCATTTGTATGCATTCATGCATTCATATATGCATGTATGTGTCGAGGTGTGTATGAATGCAGGAGGCGATGGTGACAAACATAAACAGAGCCCAAAAAGTCGAAGATGGTGTGGCCTTTTGTGTGGTTGCGGTCTCCTTTTGTTGTTGAGAAGTTGTGTGAATTTGCTTTTGCAACTTGGTCATGTCGGTAGGAAGAGGTGGACAAACGCAACTGGTCAGGAGTCCATTGTGGGCGTGCGCATTTCTGGTATCTTCCTTCTCTTCTCTCCTCGATCCTCTTATCACCTCTTCAATATCACGAGGATAAAGCATTGTTGAACAACCCATGGCAGAAAGAGAGATACCACAACTGGTTAGTAGACATTTGGTCAAACGATCGGCTGTTATGTGGTGCTAAGGATGATGATGATGTAAATGATGATGCATACAATGGACTCCGGACTAAGTGCGTTCCTCTACGTCGTCCTAACAACATGACCGAGTTGCGAAAACAAGATCAAACAACTTCTAGACGACAAAAAGGTTTGCATTACACGTTCATGTGTGCGGTATTCTGTATGAAAATGTCAAGTTCGTCCCTTCGAGCCAAAATCGGAAGTTTATTTCAAGCAGAATCTCATGCCACTTTTGGGTGTTATGTGAATGAGGATGTTGTCGTGTATTCGGGGTTTCATTTTCGCTTTTAAGTGGCGAAAAGCATTTTAAGCCAAAGAAATCCGTTTTATTTGGCAGTGTGCTCGGCGGAAAATTAAAAGAAATCGAATATTATTTATGATGGATAAAATACACAAAAGCGACGCGGCATAATAAAAAGGATATGTTTTAGTAAAAATTGGTAAACGTGTATAAACAGCTCATTTATATGCTTGTTAATTTTTTTTTCTTAAATTCAATGTTCAAATTTAGTTAATATTTTTCATATTTAAGTAGAGTTTTGAGACTACCAGTAAATCAGTAGTATGGAATGTACTCACCAGATTTCGTTTAAGGTGATGGAAAGAACTGGTTGTAGAATTTTCCCACAATGATATGAGTATAACTGATGTTTCCATTCAATTTAGCATATTGTAGATACGAAGAGAAACTTGGTTTCGATGAATCTCCTGAGATATCATTGTTAGGGGGAACTTC